CCACCCCAAGAACTTTACATGATTAATTTAGACTGTGGAGACTTCCAGTCTTCTTAGAAGACATATCGCTGCTTGGATGCTATTCTAATTTCTCTTTCTACATTTAATGAAGTTTCAGGACTTGGTTACAGGCGCATTCACACCCACCTCTCAAGATCATTAGTAGATATCTTGAGGTCACAATTCCCCTGTTGGTGGGGAGGGGTAGTCTAGAGTAGTGATTGTCTCACTTTTGAGTTTAAAAAGAATGTTTTTAAGTTAAAAATGGGATTGTCAACTAAGGATCACTTTCACAAATAATTCAACTATTATCGCTACTTATCATAAAAGAGACATTTTAATTTCGAAATGTAAGAAAGACTTTTTTCAGTATAAAGGACAGTTCTTTACGTTAAATAAATATAGGCTTATTGTTAAAATTCCTTTTTGATAGCAAGAATACTATTCCTTGAAATGGTAGACATGGTGTCGCGTGGCTACCCAGCCCTCATGAGTGGGGAAGGGGAGGAGGCGGGAGGGAGGGGCAGCAAGGGAGTGTCCTCTGTGATTCCTAGAGCCATGCTGGGCGTCCAGTGGTACAGCCCAAGTTCATCTCCCTCCTTGCTCCAAAATTCCTTCAACCTTATGTGCTTAGTAACTGTTTGCTGAATGATCTGTGATTTGTCGTTATTTAATGTGTATTCATTGAACACAAGTTTACTTGAATCTTCACACGCCCATTCTTTATTTCTTAAACATACAAAACACTTTTCTTTTTGATTTCTTTATTGGTAAAAATTCACAATTTATCTTTTCTGTAATTGCTGTGATAATGTCATCACTCATAAAATGTTACTTACTAAATAATAATGACTCGTACTTTCATTATAATTAATGTTATCTCTGACATGCTGTTTTCGTAGGAAAATGCTAGGGCAGATGGTTTGCCAGATATAAAGTAAGTTAGATTTGGGACATAGCAAGTTTGAAATTATAGCATAACTTCCAGGTGATGTCACATCCAAAAGTTTTCTTCCAACTGTATTATACACTTTTGCCATCATAGTCTGTGTGCTTTCTTCTTTATGCCTCCATAGTCCAGTGATGAACACATGCTAGATCAGGAATAAATGCTTGTTGGTTGCTTTGGGGACTATGTAGATGGAAATCGGTGAAAATTTCCAGGAAACATGGCCTTTGGGAATTGGTGATCAATGAGTGATTACGGGAAAGTCATATAACAAACAAATAGCAGGGGAGAGGGAGTGCAATTGAGGGTTTTCAAGAATGAACATGAAATGGGCGATGCAAAACAAGTGCCTAAATGATGCAGCTTTACAAGCCCATTTTGTAGGTCACTAATAACTTGGAATTCAGAAAATCATTGAATGGTTTTTAATGGGATGAAATTTTTGGCTGAAACACTTTACCTCTGGGGATTCCAAGAAGCCCATTCATGCAAAGTGATGTATTCATTCATTGAACAAGTATTTACCGAACCCTTACTATGTTCTAGGATTATTAGAAGTGCTGGGAAGGTAGTAGTGGATAAAACAAAAATTCCTTCCCTCTGAGAGCTTATATTCTAATGGAGAGTGATAGGCAATCAACAAAACCAACATTCAGTATTCTAGATGGTGATGAGTGTTCTGAAGAAAAATAAAACAAAAAATAGAGGGCAGGCTGGGGTGGTGATGGTGATTTCAAGTTTAAGTAGGATAAAGAAGAAGACAGAGGTTGACAGGCAGCCCTGGTGCAGTACAGTTTTCTAGGGACCAACGCAAGATGTTGGGAAGCGTGAGGCCTCAATTTCTCCAAGTGCCATCTGACTTTGCATCCCAATTAACAGTGACAGCCTACTGCTTTAAAATAGGAAATAAAGTGGAAGAAAAGCAAACGCTTGATAGTTGACCTGACATTCACTGTTGCAAGATTGGGAACGTACAATAAATGTCACTGATGGAGCAATATTCATGAAGTAAAAATGTCAGTTTTCAATTTGGCATGAGGATGGTTTGACATGTATTAGTCGCGCACAGAATATTATCATAATTAATGCATTAATAATGCAGCTGTCCTTTTTCTCCCCATCCCAAATTAAAGAGAAAATGGAGAGAGTCAGGTGAAAGCAGCATTCCCCCTACATAGCATAGAACTGATTGGTATCAGTTCAGATTTACCCATCTCAATTTTTCCCTCATGTTTCCACAAACGCCACCAGCGGCCTTGTCTTCTGAGGGCCCTTTTCTTCATTTCAACAGCGCTTTAAAAAACAGTTCTAAAGATACACATATTTACTGTAGAAGTGGCATATAAATGAAATCAAGGGTATGAAAATCTCCCATAAATGCACCACCCAGAGAAAATAACTACTAATATTTTGGTGTTTGTTTCAGTCTTCCCCCCCCCCCCCAATTATACATATTTATAAAAATGGTATCATTTTACATATAGTTTGATCAATTCAATTCATGGCAAATACTCTTTCAACTTAGTGAATGCTTCTCTACAACAATCAATAGCTGGGGGTATTTCATTATACAGATGTAGCATATAATTAATACCTCCTTATCCTCATGTAAGGTTTTATATTTTTGGTGTATTAACAATGTCGTGATAAGCATACATGCAGCCAGATCTTTGTACATATTTGTGATGATTTATTTTGGACAGATTCTCAGATGTGGAGCTGATGGAAGTGTTAGTTGTCTGTTGTTACAATAATGCTGCAGAACAAACAAAGCTTTGTGGCATAAACAGTAAGCATTATTGTTCACCTGACTGGGGTCAGCTGACTGGGAGTCTACCAGCTGGCTCTGCTGATCTTGGCTTGGCTTGCTGTCATGTCTGGGCATTGATTGGCTGGTTGTCAGCTGATACAGGCTAGCCAGCGCTGGGGTGACTGGGGGAACTTGGCTCTGTTTCTCATTCTCCTGCAGGCTGGCTCAAGCATGTTCGTATGTCGTTGGTGGAGACACAGCAAGCTCATTCTTACACATGCTTTTCAAGTATCTGCTTGTATCACATTTACTAACACCACAAAGCAAGGAAGGTGACTGAGCCCAATGTCAAGGGGCAGGGCATGCTGCCCTATTCACAGAGGGTACTGCAGAGTTACAGGACGGAGTCATGGATTCAGGGAAGGGTGAACAATTGGGGCCAAATTTGCAATCTCCCTTACTGGGTCGAAAGGCAATCTTATTTTTAAGGCTCATGATATTTCCAAACTGCTCTCCAGAAAGCCTGAAACGACCCCACTAATGGTATAGGAGACTTCATAGTTTCCCACTTCTCTCTACTCTTGCTGATTCTGGGAGTGATTTGTGACTTTTCATCTTGGCTATTTTGATTGGCATCTTTACCTGACCCTCTAGGCTACATGTTTGCTCTTGGTGTTGGTTCTTTCCTTGCAGAGTGCCCTCAGATGCCCTAGTCTCTGGTCTACTTATCCTCTTCATCCTGCTTCTTCTGCCCACTTGACCTTGCACCTGTGCTGACCAACTCTCAACTATCTGGAATACCCTATGATCTATAAAAGCCCTTCCCTAACCATTCTGAGTCAGCAGGTGTTCACTACATATCTTTTAACTCCACCACCTACACCAACAGTGGGGTAATTGTTCTCATTATTCTTAGAAACTCAGAATTGTTTAGGGCCAGAAAACAGCTAAGAATTCAATCATGTTTTTTTATACAATATTGTTCCAAGAATATAGCTACTAATATGGGTATGCATGGGGATGCAGACATGGCTCTAGATAAAAAATTGCCTGAAGAAAATGCTGGAAGAAATTAACTACTGTTAATATTTTAGCATATTTCTGTGGAGAGGAATTATGTGTGGATTTTTTTTTTTTTAAAACATTAGAACAAACCTTTAACGTTGTGTACAGAAACTGAGAGAGAAATTAAATGACTTGCCTCCTGTCCTACAGGTAAATAATAGCAGAACCGTGACTGCAGCCCAGTCTTGCAATTCCTGATTTAATGTTCCTGTGAGACACTGCCACTGTATGACCTCTGGAGCCCAGCTATCTTTTGTTTGATTGTTTCCAAGCAACACTGGTGGTTCGGTTTGATTTGGTTTTGCAAGAGTGCTTTGCTTTTTGTGGGTGGTTCATAAGGAAGTTAGGAATATTTTAGACAATGATTGAGTCATCTAAGCCAGCTATGTGGATGTGGAGTGCATATACATATCATGTCTGGGTGCATACATTATCATGGCTTCAAAAGTTGGCAACTGATTTAAGTAAATAGTGGGTTTTCTCTGTTAAATCACATTAAGGCTCCTAAGCAGCACATAATTTATCATAATTATGTGGATTCTAGGTAATTATAATAATTATTTAGTATATACAAAGGTAAGCTCTACAGATTTAGGGTAGAATTAAATAAGCTCTTTGGGGACATCTAAATTGATCAGATTGATTAGATCTCGTGCTATGAGCCAATGTTGGGGGGGGGGGGTCACTATGACAGAATGTTCTTTCTCAGAGCTCACCTGTACTGGTGAATGAATCTGAAAAACTGAGGATTGGTTAGGAGACCGGGGCAGGGCCTCTGTCCTTGGAAATGATGGGCTGGTCTTCTTGGAAATGAATCTTTGATTTGATTCCTGCTTGCCCTTTGCCTTGTTTCCCTTTGAGCACCATTTCTAGGATTTTCATAAAGGATAAGAAAACTTTGTTACAATTTCTCTGGAGAGTAGGAATGGCTCAAATATTGCTTGGTGATGAAGAAGTGGGGAACATACTTTGAAGAACCCTTGACTTGGAGAACACCAAAGAGATGTTGATGTGTTGGGGGGTGTGGTTAATGTTTGGAGCCAAAGTCAAATGTTAAGTTGCGGCATTTGGGGCCTAGAAACATGTCACTATTGCTAAATTAGTACCTTTTACCCACCTAGGGCTTTCTATAAGCCTTCTTGGATCACAGAGGATACACTCAGAAATGGACACAAGTTAGTGGGGACAGAAACTGGGAACTGAAGCTGCTTCACCAAGCAATAGGAGGAGGAATCTAAGCCCCTAAAAACTGAGCTTCTGTAGGTTCTCTTTCCTAGTGCTTCCGTGGTGTTTGTTTTCCTTTGTACTGGTTGTCTTGCAGAGAGAAAGACTGCCCGGGAAACTGAGTTTTTGCTGGTATTGGGGGAACTGCCAGCCAGTTAAAAATCAAAGCCTGTCAGCCAGTCAGCTGGGGACCAGGTATACTGTGCGATCCTGCTTGTTTATACGAGGATTCAAGCATAATCCAATTGTCACTATTAGCCCACATTCCCACATGCTCTCTTGGCATGCACATATGCACCTGGGCGCTATCTGTTAGTGTCACTTACTTAGATGTCCTAAGGTAGTTGCTGGCTGCTTTTGGATGACAAAGTGCTCAGTTACAGCCAGTTTAAACAATCATGTCACTAGAACTGAATAAATAGATTTTGATAAAACTAGTTCAGTTAATATTTCCCTTAGGGTGAAGTGTAGCCTTTTCCACTTTGTTTCTCAGGCTAAGAAAATCACTAGCCCTATTTCCAACCTGTGTCCAAACTCAGATTTAATTTCTAGCAGTTAGGACCACAGTGAGATCTACATGGCTGTGGATTCAGACACTTGGAGGGTGGGGTGGTGGGCAGTTGAGTGAAAAAGGAGGTGATAGAGCCAAAGGGCAAGGAGATGAGCTGGAGGCATATAGCAATATGAAGAGAAAACCTGCAGTGGGGCACCTCATCATCCTGGTCAAGGTTAACATGGTCGTCCCACAAGTGTCAAGGACAGGGTCTGTGTCCATTACCTCATTTCTTTAGAACTGTGCTAATGAGGCAAAAGTAAGAGCAACTTAGGCTCCCCTAAGTTGTTTGGTTTTATTACGTCTCACAGCCACAACATGCACCTTTAACCTACAGTTCTGGCTGGAAAATAGCTGCTACAGGGCATGAGAAGGAATTGTGAAAGGCAGCAGTGCACACTTGCCAGAAAGTTCTTCAGAGTCATCCTGGCTTCTTAACCTCTCTATGCTAATCTCCTCTTCTGAAAAATTAATAATAGAATAATAATATCTCAGGCTTCTTGGGAGGATTAAATGAGTCAATACTAAGAAGACATTGAAAACCACGTGTGGCATATGGTAGGTAAGTGGTCTTTGCTAATTTTTGTTACGGTTACATTTATTAACTCCAGTACTCATATTGGACTGGCAGCTGCTTCTCTTCTGAGAGTCTTTAATATTTCAGAAATAATTTCTGGGTTGCTTCTGCATAGAAGAGGCAAAGAAGCCATTGCTACCACTGGAGCTCATGATGAGTGTTGGGCGGTGGGAACACCTTGACGGTGACTGAAATGCATCCACTCCAGCTTGCCTGCTCTGACTGCAGTCAGCAGCCTGAATTCAGGGGCTGCTCATCTCTGTAAGCACCAGTTTTATGACTAGCCGCGATTTACCCCTCTCCTACTACTGCTCAGCACTTACTCTCAGTTGACACCATACTCATTTAAGTTGTGGACTCATTCCTGCCTGAAACATTCTTTAGTTGTCTCCTGACAACTGAAGGGTGTTGTCACTTGATCTTCAGCTCAACTATGAGCTCCTTTCAGTGGAAGATCCACCTGTGTGTACTTCCTCTTGCTCTGTCCCTCACCATTGGCATCCATTTTGTGCTGCACATATGGAGCCTGTTTCTGATTCGGAGCAGGTCAGGATTTATTCACCCTTGGGCTAGCTTTAGCACCCAGCACAGAGCTGGGAAATGTTTGTGGAATGAATCTCAAACAGTGCTCTTCTACCCATGTCCTTCCTTTTTTTTTTTTAAATTTTTAAAAATTTATTTTGTGTATTTATTTATTTTGAGAGAGAGATCAAGCAGGGGAGGGGTAAAGAGAGAGGGAGAGAGAAAATCCCAAGCAGGCTCCACGCTCAGTGCAGAACCCACTGTGGGGCTCAGTCTCACGAACCATGAGATCATGACCTGAGCTGATACCAAGAGTCAGACACTTAACTGACTGAGATACCCAGGTGCCCCTCCCCATGTCCTTCCTTAAATCTGACCCACCGTATACATGGCTCATACTGGCAGGTTTGGTCACTTGGGGCCAGACCAGGGCTGTGGGTCCCAAAGGACTGTTTATTCCTCTTAGGTTGGAGGTATCTGATCCGTATATCATAGTGCTTTTATCCTCAGTCCTTGAAAAGGGAAAAAGTTCTGCTTATCCTCAACTTCTTAACATGACACCCTCCATTATATACGCCTCTATGAACACAACAATAATGGCCATAGTTTATAAAACATCTACTAAATGCCAGGGACTCTGTTAAAGTAGATATTTTGTGTAAGCTTTTCATTTGGTCCCATGGATTAGGAATTGTGCCCCATTTTTACAGTTAAAGAAACTGAAGCTTAGAGAACTACTTGACCAAGATCAAAACTTACTATATAGCATAAACTCCACATCTAATACTGACTTGGTCTAACTAGACTTGCTCTTAACTTCTCTACAAGTTGATAAAAATACTCTTTTATCTATGCTCAGATGTCTTTTAGTTATTTTTCCTGCCTGAGCATCTATTTCCTTCTCTGGAGACAGGGACACTTTTGTTGACGTTTCTTGCTCTGCTCTCTGATATTCTAATGATTTCATTGTGCACACATAAACTCTTGAGAATGTACAATTGGCTAGGTTCTGCCCCCTACATGATAGCTTACTGGAAGCCTGGTTACTCTAGAGCAGTAGGAACTGAAGAGAAAGAGTAGGATTCAGCTTCAAAGGTGCAAACGCCTGTTGGGATTCATACTTTGCTCATACCTGAGCCCAGCCCATACTAGGACTGACCCTGGTAGGGATTAAAAATTCTTAGTATTAGTATCTCTGTTTGTATCTTTGATCCAATATCTGTCCTTCATTAGGTACTTACTAATTTGCACAGCATCCTTGGTGGTGTTGTGTCCATTATTTGTAAGGCTCGAATGTAGAAAATAAATGTCTCCCTAGCAGCAAGAGATAGTCCAGGGCATTTGTGGGAGAGCCCATGACCTCTTGCATCTACAGGGCTTGAGAATGACACTTCTGGATTTTGAAGATGTAGAGTTTAAGGAGCCAGGGAGGTCTGAGGCAGCTGCCAGTCAGTTCATACTATATTTTATTTTAGAAAGCACAACTCCAGTTGTATGGTGTGCTGTCCTCCCCTGTCACAGCCCCTCCCCATGACTGCTGAAGTCCCTACCCTGAGAGAGAAGTAGCTGTACTGATTCTTTATCTTATCATTAGACAGCATCTCTTTTTATATGTTTCTTAACAGGAGAATAACCCATACATACATGATATCATACATGCTATGGGAGGCTCTATATAAATGTTTGTTAAATAAATAAAAATAAATACAATGCAAAGAAGGTCTCATTTATCCCAGACACTCTTCTACATAGAGGTCACAGCCGCCATTTTATGTAGTTCCTTCTAGAAAGTTTCCAGGTATACACAGATGTGTGTATCAGCCCATTTTGCCTTCACCTATGGGATTGGCTGGATGTGTTGCTGAGATCTCAGTGCCTACTCTCCTGCATGCAGCCCTGTGGTTCTGATCTAGGGTGCTGGGATACAAGCATGTACCCAGGGAAAACACTTTTCCTTACTGCCGCCTCTGGAGACCACCCATCAGACCGACTCATGAGATCTTGGGAGGTCAGTTCCCACAGAGGTGCAGAGCTGTAGTTTTCTCAGGAAGATGATGACTCATAATATGGAGTTAAGACTTACTCCTCTTTAAGCTCACCAAAATTTTAATAGGGTTAGGGGATAGGGGAAGGGAAAACCATGGATGATTACTTTCTTCTTTTTACATTTCCTAAACTTTTAATAATGATATGTTTATAACGAAATTTATTTACAATGAAAAAAAATCCCAATGCATTTAAAAAAAAGTGAATACCACTTCCCACTGAAGTGGAGTCTTAAGCTCTCAACTTATTAAATCTAATAAAATTTTTATTGGTTACTCACAGATACAAAAATCCCTTTATAAGAAACCCCAGGGGACAGCTGTAATATTATCTGGGTCCTAATGAGCACAGTGCTAGCAATCACAGTTTGCAGAAACTAGAAATGAGATAGAGTTGGTCTGGGGTGTCTCTGTAGCGAATTACCCTAGTGTCTTGAAAACTCTCCTGGATTGTGATAAGCATGGTGAGTAACAGGATCTCCCAGAGTGCTTTTAAAGCTGCACATGACTGCTGTTCTCCTCCGTGATTCACTTATTGAAACTGTGCTTCAGAGGTGTGATTCCCACACGTGGGCTCTCTGCTTCTTTGGGGCTGGGTGATCACTGCAGATGAACTGTGGACCTTTCCAGACATAGCACATTATCTGCCCGTCAGTAATACAGTTACCATTTACTGAACATCTGCCATGTGCCGAGGACTGTTGCAAGAACGTTAGTGCATTTACTCATTCAATTCAGTGAGCCAGAGAAGCTGATATCATTTTAACCCCCCTAATGGATGAGGAGACCAAGACACAGAGGGTGAAATGAGTTGTCTGGGGTTTCTCTACTATTGGGAAGTGAGGTCATGGCTAAAATCCATGCCATCTGGCTCCAAAGCCATCCTTCGAATGGCTTAACCATACTGTCTGTCAGTGTGTTGTGTGTAGTATGTTTTCTCAGTTGTTTGTAGATGCTCTTGGGATTGATCAAATAAAAATTCGTGTAAAAGTGATACTGAGTTTACATCAGCTTTTTGTCATCAGGATTTTCTCCATCAGTAGATCTAAAATGTAATTTCTTTCCTGCGATGATCCTTCAAATCTTTGGATGTTGTCAAACGGCTATGGTCCAAAAGGCTGAAAATCGCTGCTCTAGTGGAAGGAGGTGAGATTAGAAAGCATGCCATCCATGTTTCTCTCCTGACCACCTGTCCCTTAGTTCTGTCCTTTCGTTCTCAGCCAGGGTCCACGGCATGTACACTCACTCTTTGCGATGTGGACAGGCATCGGTGAAATAATTTGATAAGCACTGCTTTTGGAGTCATCTGGTAAGATACAAAAATAATT